CACTCTTCTCCTCTGCTTGAGATAATAACAACTTTAAGGGGCTCTACTAGCAGATTTAGTAATGCATTTTGATTTTTTTCTGAAAGCATACCAACTTCTTAAAAGCACGCTTCCTTCTTCTGTTACCACAATTTCATTGATAAGCTTCGGCTGGAGGTGTGATTTCTTCCTATTTCCTGTCTTAAAAAAATGTGCAAAGTAAATTCTACTCCAGAAGGAAAAGTACAGTAACAATGAGTCAGCTCAGTAATAGGGGAAATTTTCTAAGGGTCAGACTAAAGTCAGTCTCAAAGAACTTTTGGAAAGTGGACTTAGCGTAAGTTGTGATAGTTTTGTGAATTTTACTTTTGACATGTAAGTAGACATCATTTAAATCTTGCTCCTTAAAAACTCCCATCATATATCCATCAAAAAAATACATCTAAACCAAAGTTTTATTTTTCATCTTGACTATTTTTCTGCAGGGTTTCCATGTATCTTCCAGTTATTTAAAGTCTACAGAGGCTTGAGGCCTGCTTATAGCTTGACAAGCAGTCTCAAGATCCACCAGATAGCTTAAGTCATCAGAGGTTTTTCTGCCTCTTGAAATTAGATTCTAGCACCTGATTTAAGTGAGGGACCTTCCATTCCTAGGTAGTATTAGAAAAGCTGTAATCTTATTATGAAATCCCAGTATTTAACAAACCGTTTTCTAGACACAGGATTTCCCACAAACAGTTTATACAACAATGGTTTGTAAATATTTTAACGGTCTTTGAAAGTTGTATCTCAAAGACACTAAGAAAATGTTTGCCATTAATTCTCACTGTGCCATCTATGCTGTAGTTATGTCCAGGTTTCCCCTATCTGTTCTGCCAGACCAAGTAAAGCAGATAGCAGTATTTTTTCCTTAAATGAAATTCAGGTATTTGATCAATAACTCTAATTTTGCAAAAGAAGACAAGATTCCCTTACTTGATCACTGTTTTGACCTTGTTCAAGTGCAGATTTGGGCGAATGGAGACTATGGGGGGACAAACCCAAACCATGTAAAATATTGCCTCCTATATTTTGGTGCAATAGAATGAGTTGTAGAAAAGCAGTTAAATCCTTCATCTCATATTTGAGTCAAGACTCTATCAGGGTCCACTTCAAAGTGTCTGACAGCAACAGCAGTCGCTCCAGTACTTTAACTGGACTTTTGATTAAGCCTGCAACCACATATCTTCAGAGGCATGTAGGCATTTAATAATTTTTAGGTGTTTAATTAAAAACATTGAAAGGAATTTGGATGATTGAATCAAGATTCTCAAAGGCATTTATGAATTTTATTAACTTCTAAATGAATGTATGATTTAATCTATATTGCCTAACAACTTTAAAGCCCAAAATCTCATTTACACGGAGGCCGATGCTTTCAGGTGAAAGCAATCAAGCTCTTTACATTACTAGCGTGAGATCAATGAGTTTTAAGGTTGCATCAGTAAAACGTGCTTGGACTTAGCATTGCTGAGGTTAACCAGTGCAGCCTTCATCCCCGAGTTAGGTACGCATGATCCCTCTGCAGTGCCTGGGAGAACTGATTGCCTAAATTTAATAAAGTACTTATTGGAGCATTATTTATTGGTCTCCTGCTGCCTTCTTCAAAGTCTGGCAGAAAAGGGGCCAGGTGCCTACTCTGGCTCAGAGTGAGTGGTGCAAGGAGACATCTGTGGTCTGTGAACTGGGGTGGATTTGGGCAAGGCCAGCTAGTCATGGGACCGCCAGCCTGGTGAGCAGTGGGGAAGCACGAGATGCACACCAGGTAAGGTTATCAAAGCTGGGATTGCTTTGTGCATATGTGCCCCTGCAATGAGCTAAAGCTTTCACAGAGCTTTATGGGAGGAATGGCATGCTGTGGGTTTTTCTTTTCCCCGTTATATTTTCACTCCATATATAGCTTTGATTTGTTTACATTGGAAGCTGTCTAAAGGCTGACATTGGGATGACTCTATATTTCTTGCTACTTGTGAATGACAAGACTTCCTTCCTGTTGGATCAATCAAAGTGAGGAAAATTAATTTTCTTATATGTGTATGTATTGCATAGTCCAAAAAATCAAAATTGCTCACTTGACATGTATAACATAAGCAGTGCATGCCTGATGTTGCAGCTTCAAAAATTTTAATTTTGAAGTTACCTAAAAACCTAGTTCTATTTTACAGAGGGTCTTTCATATTCTGCCACTGGAAGGATAGGGGCACGAGGGAAAAAGGTACTGGGAAAATATGGTATATATGGTCACAGTGTCACACACAAACAATAATTTAATTAAGGTGCAAGGAACAGGGAATGCCAGATATTAAGTCTGTCAGATACTTGATTTTTCAAGGCTAATAAAATCCTCTTAGTTATTTTTTACTACTTTTCTGGACTTTAAGGAAAAAAGGTCATACTAATTCTGTATGTGAAAGTGAACTTTCCCTATCCAAATCCTTGGGGAAGTTTTTAAAGATCTACAGAAGTAAGGATACAGAAGAACTATTAGTTGCTTCACCTCTGCTTGTCACAGGCCATTGCATTTCATTTAAATATTCCTGTATTGAGTCTGGTAACTTATATTTGACTGAAGCACACCCTTTGCAAAGCAGCAGACATTGATTTGGAGACATCAAAAGATGGAAAAATTACTCTTTTCTTGTGTAATTTGTTCTCAGTAATAATCACCTTAGCTGTTAGGAAAAATCCATCATTGTTTCTAAGCTGAGTTTGTCTGGCTTTTACTTTTGCGTATTTGTCCTTGTTACGCTTTTCTTTGCAGTCTGAAAGAGCTCTTCAGTACCTGCTATTTTCTCCCTGTGGAGGTCTTCAGACACTGTAATCAAGTCACCTCTCGGTGTTCTTTTTGATAAACTAAATGTGCTGAGCTCTTTAAGTTACTCACAGTAAGAATTTTCTCCAGGCCTTTCACTTATTTTTGTGGCGCTTTTTATGCATCTTTTCCAACTTCTCATAGTCTTTTTTTCCAATTTGAACAAGATGATTCCAAATATGATCAGTGATGTCCATAGAAGTAAAATCACCTTTCTACTACTCTTTTTCAGACATTTAGTGGAAATTAGTCCATTTTAGCACAGATTTGCAGTCTGAGTGTTTTTGTTCAGGCTTACAGCTGAAGATGCACTCAAAGCTGCTTTTTTATTTTTTTATTTTTTTTTTACTATTTTTTATTTTATTTTTTTGTTTTACCAGGAGGAGAGTTCCTGGTCTGTTAACATGCCTTATATTTGTTTCTCCTAACTATATCCTCTCATGTTTGTGTTTGAGCAGTGCCTTACAGGCTGTAATGTGACCCTCAGGACAGATTGCCTCCTCTGCTGGAGGGCCTGTTGGGGAGATTGATCTGGGAGGGGGCAGAAGCCCAGCTCTGAGTGCTGGGTGCCTCCTCACTCTGCCTTTGATCTCGGAGAAGTTCAAACTGGG